GCAGATACTCACTGAGGAAGAAGTACTCGTGCTGGTGATTGTAAGGCAGGTACTTCAGCTTCTTCTTGCCATACTGCAGGACACAGAGGAGAAAGCTCAGGCTTGGATTATGACACTCACAGGTAAGAGAAGAGTCTCTGCAATACTTCTTTATTGAATGGGGAGTTTTGACTAAATTCCCACACCCCTAAAGGTAAAAAGTGTTTTGGTATGGTTAAATATCTTGACTTTGTAATTGTGCTAGGTGTAAATTCCTTTTTAAAGTCTTCTGGCTTGATATTCAGATAATGTCTCTTTACTTGAGAGCCTGGTGGCATTTTAATGCATTTCTCCACCTTCTGCCATGCCTGTGCCTGTGCTAAGAGCTGCTATCATCTCCATCACTACCAATACAAATGCGATAGGCATAAAGTCTGAGCTTTGGTAAGTCACTACACGGGCTGCCAGTGCAAGAAAATGATCCTTGGGTAGTCTTCCATGCAAAATGTCCCAACCTTTGATCCTTTTTGACTTCTGCAGCCATCAGCCCCCATGAACTCCTGCCATTAGCCAGGTCTTGTAAAAGCTTACTTTACCAACAGATGGAAAACTGGAGTGGTCCTTAACGTTACTACGGCAAGTCAAACAGACATGCTTAAATCTATAATGTTGTGTCACTAGTTTGACATGTAAGTGATAGGAAATAAGAGTGCTGTCATTGGGAGCTATTCTGCACCGATTCCTGTATTACTATCGTCCACCTACAGAGAGCAGATGCAAAGAAGTTTCTCCAAACACAGGTTCGGACCTTGGATTGTTGCATTTTTGCAGGTGCCCCTTTCTTTTCAGTGAAAAGAGGGAGCCAAGAGGGCCTGGTCTCCTCACCTCATCTCCTTAGTGAAATATCTAGAGCTATACAGAAGCGTCTTTTTTGAGCTCCAGGAGTGTTCACACAAGGAGCTAATGCCTGGAGAATCTGGACTGCTGTGAACTTGCATTTTTGCTTCCGGCATAGCAACTTCCCAATGGAGGTAAGTCTTGTAGCACCAATAAATCAGCCACATCATTCACTCTGGTCTGAGCTCTGAAAGGCTGTGTGCTTAGCATCATCTGGAAAAGGATTATATACAAGTATTGGGGTAGACTGATGCCGGCCTAACATTTCAGATATTTTGTAGGACGGAGATCCAGTTTTCCTTGTTGTCATAAATATTTACATTCCTACTTTTCCCTTTAGGTGGTAGAACCACGATCTGCTTTTAAACCCAGTTATCAGACACAAGATTTTCCAATGGGTGGTACCCACACATTTAAGAGCGTGATACTGATTTACGTCTTCTAGATACTGGCTTTTTTATACGCCAGGGGGTGGCTTTCTTTTTAGTCATATATAAAAGCCCTTCTGCCTCTTGAAAATTCTGTGTGTGCAAGACTTTCTCTATACCTGTCCATATACCAGCATGTATGTCCCCTACATGTGTCTGGAGTTACTTTCTCAGTAGTACAAAAGCTGGCTGAGAAACCATTAACTTTTAAATGTTGTATTCCCCTGTGTTGTACTTGCTGCAGACGTTTGTTTGGTTGGTTTTTTGTTTTCTTTGGTTTGTTTTTTGTTTTTAAAACTGGAAATCCTTGTTCCGTTGTAAAAACCACCAAGGATGGTACGTGGTTCACGTCCTTTGTGTAGGTTTTTATACAATAGACAGTAAATATTTTGGCTCTAGAAGGACAGATTTAATTAAAATACCTTAACATAGCCTGTTATTTCATGTGCAGCATAACAGTACATAGTTAATGTAAGAAAGTACTGCTTATGCAAGCAATATCCCCTCAACTGCATGGGAAAGGCTCCAGTGGAGAGGACCTTGTACAGGTTGCCTGGAGCACAGCTGGACTAATATTGGAAGATATTTTCTGTGGAAATGGAAGATCAGTTTTGAAATGTTCTTGATGAAGTACTGAGGAACACCGTATTTTCCCCTGATGTTGATATTTCAAGCCAGCAGGATGAAGTTTTCTTTAATGACTTTCTACTTTCTTTCCAGTCCTATCTTGATTGCTTTTCCCAAGCTACCCCAAAACACTTTTTCCTGTGGTCAATATAGTAAATGGATAGGGAATTATAATCTTGCTCTTCAGCCCAAGGTTTGGGAGGGTGCGATGGCCAAAACTCCTGTCAGGCAACATAGACAGATGAAATCCCTGGATGAAGCATTTCCTTTTTTAGCATTCCCAGAAGTCTTGACTGTGCAAGTCATGTCTACCAATACTAGCCAACTCTTGCTTTTGTACAAGCCTTCCCTGAAGCCCTTAGGACAATGGTTTTCCACGTTTTACCCACTTTGGCATACCTCAACAGGCTGTGTATCTCCGAGGACAAAAATATGCAGCATGTTCACATCTGGGTCCTTCTTGAATATGTTGGGCTTGGCATGGTGTTGGAAGTGACGATGGTTCCACCAGTTGGCAGAGGCACCCTGGGCAGATAAGAATAAGGAGTTAATCCATGGAAAAGTACAGTTCCTCTAATGGTAGGATTCATTTATATAAACTAGAACAGTGCAACTCTGATTATGGCCAAACTGTTACTTGCTTTTGAAATAGCAGTAAGCCGTAAGTGGCTAAGCTGTCAGTTGTGATGAGACTGCTGGTTTCAGAGGGCTGGTTTGCCCTCGCTAAGGATCATCCATATTGAAAGAACAGGGAATAAATATACCTTGAGCGAGTTGCATGTCATCATGTCTTCCCACATGTGAAGTTGTTATTAACAGCTGAATCACAGAATCATAGCATCATTTAGGTTGGAAAAGACCCTTGAGATCATCGAGTCCAACCATTAACCTAACACTACCAAGTCCACCACTAAACCCCCTTGCTGTCTTACTGATTATACTGGTTTCCCTCCATTGCGTGTGCCTGTGAGGAACCAGACAGGGCAAAGTGGGTTTGGGAGAATGGGCAAAGCTATGTCCCACCCCTTATAAGTTCCTGCTGCGGGTGGATGCTGAGATGCCTGGCCTGCACTGGACTTTGCCCAGGATAGAAGTTCTGACGGCATCTTGAACGGATGGGATGTAGCAGGATGGGACATTTGAAAAATACTATACCTTAGTGTGAAGGAGGTGGAGGGCATGGCAAAAATAATGATGTTAAAATAGGGGTTTATGCAATTAAATAAGCTTTGTCCTCAGCTGCTATAAATTGGTGCAGTTGCACTGAAGCTTGTGGAACTGCTGTGTTCTCTAACAGCTATGGTTACGCTCTCTTATCTCTTCTGCACAACAGCTCCATGTGCAATGCTCACGAACTTCTCTGTGCATCTGCTCACTGTGGAAAGGCTTAGAGCTGCAGTTTCCTACTTTGACATAGTCAAAGTGACTGCAGCTGTTTCCACAGTGCCCTGGGTCCATAATGTCCTTTACCTTCAGGTGTCCAATGACAAACTTGTGGACGATGTGGTTCCAGGAAGACTTCTTAAAGACAGAGAGGTGTCCAAAATCATGTTGCAGCCAACCTGCCTGGGCCTGGGATGAAGGGACATAAAGTAGTTAGAAAGCTGTTTGAAATCAAAGTTAAGCACAAAAGGAAATGGAGATAGAAGGCAAGTTGTGAGTGTGAGCAAGAGGGGGAATTAATTGAAGTGAGAAGGTGAAGATCTCTGTTTTCGTTGTGGAGGGGAACATAGAATCATAGAATCATTCAGGTTGGAAAAGACCCTTAAGATCATCGAGTCCAACCATAAACCTAACACCACCAAGTCCACCAACATGTGGAAGGAGAGGCCAAAGAGGTGAGAAAAATGTGTGAATCACAATCAACCAGCAGTGGGTAGGGGTGGCCAGAAGGCACCCCAGTGGCAGGTATGTTGTGAATATTTTTCACTGGCCTGAATGTTTTGCACTGGTAATTAATCTAATATGAAAATTTCAGCACACGCTGGCCTTCTCCTGAGTGATTTGCATAGCCAGTACACTCTGCGCCTACTACTTCTCACCTGGGAAGTTGTAAGGATGCAGGCGAGGATGAGAGTTGTGATCCAGCCAGTACCAAAGTATGAAACCATTAACCAAGCCAAAACTTCCATTGCAATAATATGGCCCAAGTAAAGAGAGAAGAACAAAGGATTTGCTCTGAACAAGTTCATGTCCTCTGCTGTCTTCCTCAGGGTCCGGAAATCCTGCACCAGCTGGGACTGCAAAACAGACATGCAAGACACAGTATGCAGCTTATAAGTAAGTCTGAATGTGTCTGAGGAAGGAAAGCCAAGTTCCGTACTAAGGACCCTGGCTGTTTCTTGCACTGGTTGGCTACTCCAGAAGTCAGGGAGGACCTGCCTCCATATTCACACTGTATTCTAGCTTTTCATAGCACTTTCCTACGAATAAACATCCCGGCTGGTCTGAGCCCGCGTCCTGACCTTTTGCACCTTGAGCTGGGAGAGTAATTCAAGCCTGCTGCTGTGAATCAGCGGCGCTACCTGGCTCTGTTGAGAGTTCCGTCAGCTGATGACTCTCGTCTGAATGAGTTTTACAAGTATTAAAGAGGCAGCTGGAGAAGCTGAATTCAGCCCTATTACTTATGCATAATTCCAGAGCTCTGATGATGAGCACCCAATATCAGAGCACCCGTCATCTATTTAATATGTGGGTCAGCTACCGTGCAATCATTCATGAAGAGCATTCCCGGGTTAACGTGGGTTAGCATCATCTCTTCTATTGTGAGTGATACAGATATATCATAATCATGGCCAGTCACAAACAACGGGACAGGATTGAGTTTCATGGCAAGAGCTAGTCATGCCATGCGCTGTGCCTGAATAATGAATGAACGGAGTGTCTGGGAGGGATACAGAGCTGCCCTGAGGATGCCGAGTGGGTGGAAAAGGTACTTGCTGGCTTGCTGCAACTTAGGAACAGCCACCGAAACGAGACATCTGGTTCACCTCACCCATAGGTGCCTACCGCTCGTGCCATGCACGGCACAAATGTGGCTGCTCTCCAGAGCTTTGCTGGTACTGGGCTCAGCAGGATTAGCCAGTTTGAGTCTCAAAGAGGTATTTCCCTGGGAGTTAATCTGTCAAAGGGAGCTGCAGAGCAAACAGTGAAAGAGATTCAAGTCTTGCTGAGGTGGTGAGCAACTTGTTTGGAAGTCTTTTCAGACTTCTTTGCCTAGGCCTCTCCTTTCCCTGTAACAGGCAAGTGGTGACATGTGTTTTAGAGCTTGGTCACCAGAGAAGGAATGGCAGAAGGGACACCGGTCACAAGAGCTGGTGCACATCTCCCAGTCCACATGCCTCAGTTCCCATTTCCCTCCAGTACAGGATCTGTCCAGCGTGGGCACAATGGGCTGCTAGAAATCGGTGGTTGGTTGCTCTACGGGAAAGGAAAGGCTTGTACGGCCAGTCTGAACGTGTCGCCTCCCTCCCCCACACATTTTAATCTATACTGGGATGTGCACTTTGCTACATGGAGATGTTCAGTCGCTGAGCATTTTTCTCCCTCTCTGGAGCTGCCTGTAGTGGACAGACCTTTATAATCTGCCTGCCTCTGACCTGGAGGACATCCCGAGAGGAAAAAAATGGTGGAACATACCCATCATAAACCCCAGCTCAGAAACAAATACTCACGTTTTTATCTCGGTCCTGGCTAGGTTCCCCTGGAGCAAGCTCTCCAATAAGTAATGGCTTGAGAAACTTTTGCACCAAGGCAGGATTGATATGGAAGGCCTGGAATGCATCCTGGAGTGGAAATACGAGTAACTGTGTGAGATTCAGGAGTAAGCTGTTGCTTTCTACTCGCTGTGTCATTCCCGTCCGTCTCCAGCACTGTCCTCCTCTGCAGTTGTCCCCCCACCTTACTGTGAAAGGGGTGCCAGACAGACTTCCATCTCTGTGATTGCTGTTCAGTGCAGTACTTCTACTAGAGGCTGATGAATTTGCTTATCTAGTAGGAAGTGAGGGGTGAGATCTGGGATGCTATCTAGACGTATGGTGAAAGGCACCTCAAGAAATTTTTTCTAAGCAACTAAATACCTAAATCCTGTTAATTCCCTTAGAAGGTAGGCAGAGAGGAATTTGTGCAAATCCCCACTGGGATGTAAATACCCTTTGAAAGTCTGCTGCCTGGAGGCAATTCAAGAGAGGGGGTGACCGCGGTGACTGAACCTGGACATGACTGCAGATACAAAAAATATTACTGGCTGTTTTGGCGAGACCTGTAGATCCCAGCACTAACACAGCTGAGGAAAAAGCGGTGACCCTTCCTTTTGGAGACTGCCTTTCTCTTTTTGTTCTGTAAGATGAGTAATTGAATGCTATCTTGACCCTTTTTTATTCTAGAACCATATTCTAGCCATATAGGCAATTCTATCTCCATGGAAGTCCAAGTAAAATGTCTTGGAAAGGAACCAAACCAAAAACTCAGTTGTATACCAGAACTTTAAGCAATTGCTTTAAAGTGCTTGCTATCAAACTTCGCAGTGGCTAGGACCCCATTCAGAAAAGTACCTACCTCAAAAGGCAACCTTATTCATTACTCTGAAACACGCTAAGGATTTTAACACTCTTGAAGACCTGATAGTTATCAATTCATGTGATAAGACTTCTTGTCATTTCTACTGTGCTGTGGTATATGGCTGCTTGTCCCTGTAAGAGGCCCATTAATCTTTTGCGAGACTGCTTGCGTATTTTCTGTTCAGTACATGCCTTGAACGTTGGGTATATTTTACTGAAGTCTCTCAAACGTGTGATAATAGACATAAATAGCTTGTTAAATTTCAGCATCAGAATCTAATTGAGGGATGAAACTTGTGAAATAAATCCTGTCCCATATACTCCTGAGGCTGGGAAAGCAAGAAACCCACCTGGAAGAGTATTTTTCTTACATATTTTCAAGACTTCTTCTAATATGGAAGGACAGTGCCTTGTTTGTAGAGTCTTTTTGGTCCTGGCATTCTTGAGTTTGTCTGGCTCTTCTTTTTCTGCACTCCTTCCCCCTTCCACACGTTTTTGTCTACCTATGTCCTACAGATGCCTGATGGGAGCATGTATTGGATGCACTACTGCTAGTAGTGAGATCTTGCGCACCCCTCCTTTCACGTGGCATGGCTTGAATTTTAACCCCAAAGATAGTGGTAGGGACAGAGAGCTGACGAAGGTCAGAAACTCTTACTCTGTCCTTGCCCTTTTCTTACTGCACAGAACTGGAGTTAACTCTAGAAAAGCACCTAGGAGAGCTGTAAAGATGTAATTACATGAAGTGCTAAGACTGGTACAGAAAAAGCAGTCAAAAATAGGAGTACTTCAGGAGTACCATGCTTCAGCCTTTCCACTTTTGTCCCACTGCCTAACAATAGTAGGGACCAACTAAAATCTCACTTCTGGCTCTAAACAGAAAGGGCAGGCTGGAAAGTGCTCACTGTCTCCAGCTGACCCTTCTGGGAGTTGACCTCCATCAAAAGTCTAGCTCTGGTGTTCAAAAATACCAGCCAACAACCTTGGTCCCAAAGTCCACCAAAATCAATACAAACTTTCACCTGATTCCAAGACTTTGGATTGAGCTTCAGAATAATACTCTGACCACAGAAGTTTTGCTGTGGGAGGCATAGAAGGAGGGAGAGTGAAAGCTGACCTGAGCCATTTAACTTGAACTTAAAGAAATGATCTATGAGAAATTAGAGATGTAGCATTGGCGGGGGGGCGTGGAGGGGGAGAGACGAGCTAGCTGCAGGTGCAGGAGAGAAATAAAACTCTGTGGAATGATTTAAAGATTATAAAAGCCCTAAAATGCCAGAGGCAATGGGGGAAGAAGTAAGGAAGGGGGGGAAAAAAGTCATTTCAATGGGGGAGGCAAATGAAAATGCCAGAAATGAAACGGAGGTGCACTTCTGTAAAGCACCAGAATTTCCTAGTTACTCTCAGCTCAGCTCTCATGCCAGTACCGAAGTGCCCAGCCTGTCTCCTTTTGTAACCAATTTCAGGGACGAAGTGATCCCTGTTACCACAGGGGGAAGTTTGGATCAAATTGTCCAGGTCCACTCATGAAGACTGCATCACTGGCAAAACTTACCCCAGCGTGAGGGAGACCAGTGCTTTTTGACTGCATTGGGTTAGCCGCTGGTGTTACTTTATTGGTGCCAAAATGAAGGTAAAACTCTAGGTAAAACAGCAAAGCTGTTTCTACAGCCCTGTGCTGCAGACAGTTTGGAGTTTGCCATGCAAAGAAATACTTGTCCTGAATCATCAGCTTCCTTCTCTACTTTGAGGAGTTTAATTTGCTTTACCGTAATTCATGCATACTTCACCCTCTCTGGTGCTATCCTCACAGCCCACCTGAGGTTAAAAAATACCGTCCTCTCCCTTCTACAGACAGGGAATGACACACTTAAGGACTGAGTTGCCTGAAGTCTGGTCTGGTTGCTAGTTTCCTTCCCTGGCACAGTTTGCAGATGATTTGCAGATGATGTGAAAGAGGAGGGAAGAGCAGAACGAGCGGGGAAGTGAATAGCTGACTGTACCTGCTGCCAGGTTTTGCAATTTTGGGGCAAAAAAAGGGGAAGAAGGGGAAAGAGGGAGAGGGTGAACACATACGAAGCATTAAAGAATGTTGGCTCAATGTTATTTAAACTAATGGGGAAAAAAAGAAGTCTTTGGAGGTCTGACTGGGTACCGCCTGATCACCGTGCTGGAGATCTCGCTGATTGGTGTTGTATTCATTGGGGGGTGACTCAGAACAGCAGCTTCTGCCTGACCACCTAGAAGGTATTTTTGTCTACCTGGGGCTTCCCTGCCAGTAGCCTATCTGTTTTCTAAACATGCTTATACATTCTCTGTCATGACTTTCCCCCGGCAGAGTTCTCCTCTGCCTCTGAACTTAATAGCCTCACTTCTTTTGGGATGGAATGAAAAGTAAAGGTTGGAACTGGTCAGAAATGCAATCGTGCATGTCAAAACGCAGTTGTTACACAAAACTACACTACCTATCTTCCACTTCACTGCTATTGCAAGCCTAAGCCATGAAGGAAACACTGGCGGCAGGAAAGTTTTACCTTCACTGAGAAGTAATACACCTCTATGTCATTGGCATATGTGGAGAATGGGCTTTTTCAGTATAGCCTCCAAGCAGGAGAGAGAATAACATCTCCTGAATACTCTTACCATCATCAGACAGAAAGCTACAGTGATGGAAGGATTGCTTTTTTATTAGCTATGTCTCATGCATCTCCTTTACTAATAGGTCCCGAATGTAAGATACTACCTGAATTTTGGAATCGTCCTCAGTTCTGTACTAGAGGAGCTAAAAAGCAAAAGGCAAAAGATACTCTCTGGGAAGTACCATCTGATATTTACACCTGACCTCCCAACTTCGTGGTCTATTGGCCAAATAAGCTGATGTGTCTTACGGGAAGTGGGCAAGTGGGAGTTATTCCAGCTGCTTTTGGTGAAAAAAAGCTTCATATCATTGAGGTATGAACTGTGCCTAGGCACTGAAGTCCTTAGTGCAGTCAGTACAAGGATGTTCTTTCACATCCTTGAACATCTCTGAAACAGAGAGACTGCGAGGTGCCTTTGCATACTCTTGCCTTCATTTTCTGAAGGCAACTGTGCATGATGTGATACCAGAACAGGTTGTCCCAGACTAGTATGCTGTCTCAGCATGTTGAAAGTATGGCCTAAAATGAATGAATGCTCAGTGTTGTTAGTACCTGTAGGGGAAATTCGTGCGTAAGCTCGCCTGGGCACTCCTAACCTGACTGGCATGAGCTGAGCATGCTGAACATAACTGTCATAGAAGCTTCTGTTAGCTGTCTCGTGAGCACCCTGAGGTGAAGTAGCTCACACATCACCAAGCAAGGGGCCTGGCATAGATGTGGAGTTCAGTGAGTCTGTCAGTGGGCAGCTCATGGTAGAAGGATACACATGATCCTCTAGAGGATTCGTCCAAGGATCCATGGACAAGATGCTGAGGTTCCTTTGGTGCACGTTTGCTGGGCTGGAGGTCCTAACTACATGTGGTGCTAAGGAGAATCTGAGAAAGACAAAAGCCATGTAAGAACTAGGAATATAAACATGTTAAACTGGATTTTTATCATTGCCTTTTCCTCCTCCTAAACTCTTCCAGTTGTGGTATCTTGCAACACAGAATTAAACTTGTTAAGTTAAGCCTTGACAGGGTCAAGGCCAAGGCTTTCTCACCCTGAATGAGAGAGAGATTTTTCGGCGGTAAACTGTTATTCACCACAGGGAAGCTGGAAACCAGATGACAATTCTGTTTTAGTGCTCAGAGTGGTGATGAACAATTTCAGAGCATTCTTAAGACCATGCCTGCATGGAGAGTGCTCTGCGTAGAGTGGGATGCGATGTACCCTGGGGAGGTGGGTGGGGAGGTGGGAGGAGGACCAGCAGTAGTAGAATCACAAACCTGTGATTCAGTCTCCCTTGAAAGGGTTCGAGACAAATGCAGTAGCAGATGCTTTTTGGTTTCCAGTGGAGATATTGGAGTTAAATTCTTGGGGGTAGGAGTCAAACTCCTCCCGTGGTTTCAGCAGGCCTTCGTTTAAGCAGCTGAAAGTAAAACCTGGCCCATGTTTTTGAGGGAGAAAGCTGTTCAATTCAGAGGATTTATTGGAAGGGGACAGGAACACCAAAACGCATCTCGGTGCTTCAAGGAAAAGAATGGAAAATAACCACGGACCACAGGCAAATGGAGGCTGATGGAAAGGAAAGTGTTAGTAATTCTTGCCAATTAATTCTGCCACACACAGAGCCTCCCTCCTTGCTAAGGTGTTAAGAGCCGTGGGAGACGAACAGTTAATGTTACAGCTTGGTCTCTCCTGCCGCTTACCATGCACACATTCAGGAAAGCTCTGAGGCAGTTTAAGTTTTATTAACTATGGGCTAATGCCCTGGGGAGAGAACAGGCTCTCTGGATGCACTTCTGAAGAAGGTGGCTTTGAGGGAAACTGCAGACAACAGTCTCTGAGGCAATTTGCTCCTTTTTCAAGGTTTTTTGGTTGGTTGGTTGGTTGGTTGGCTGGGGTTTTAAGTCACTGAAACATGAGAGGTAGCTGAAACCAGCTATGAAGTGCAGGGGCAGCTGTAGCAGCAGCAAATAGTTTTCTTTTTTTTTTTTTTTCTCCTTTTCTGTAGAAACCTGTAACTAAATTCTCTAGAGAATTCTCTCCTGGGGAAAAAAACCTAAAAAGCTCCTTGTTTTAAAGCCTCGAGCTCACCCTCCTCACAGAAGCAACTTTGAAACACAGACTGGCTTCTCGTTAACCCTTTCTTGTGCTTGGCTGCTGTGACTCTGCACGCCATAAGCTACACACTGCAGAGGGGGAGACTTGGGACGCTTTGCTCACGAATTCAGAGCTCCGGGCGCAGCACAAACACGAGACAAAGACAAAACAGCAGGACTTAAGCAGAGCCCAGCAATCTCTACCGACCAATCTTCCAGATGCTGCGAATTGCCGGAGCTCAACGGAGTTGTTTGCAAGGAGTTGCATCAATTCGGACCAACCTTTTCGCCCCTAAAAGCGGCGAAAAGAGCTGAGCCGGGTGGACAGCAGGTGTAAGAGAGGTGGGGAGAGAGGGGCAGACAGCCGGCCGCACAGAAGCCGGCTCACTTCTCGGTAAGCACCGGGAAGGCAGTGACCTGTCAGAGGTTGCTGGCGAGAGCTGGGAGGCGGCCGCGTGTGTGTCCGTGCGTGGGTCCTTACCGTGGCATCTTCGCCGGCGCAGTGGCTGATCACTCGTTGACCCCCCGGGTGTCTGTTTGCCCACTTGGTGACATTATAAACCTTTCGCTCTATCACCAGCCACTTGTCCGTCCTCAGGTTGTGCTTCTGGATCTCCTCCCAGGTGTAGAAGCGGATCTGCGCCTCCGGCTCCCCCGACTCCCCTCCTTTCTCACCCCCTTTCCCCATGGGGCCACTTGCTTCTTTGTCTTCTTGCCAAAAGGGGGGGGCGGGGGGGCGGGAAGCTGTCCCTGCGCTTCTTAAAGATGTGCCGGAGGGGAAGAGCTTTTCTTGGCGTGATTTAACTCAGCTGATCCCCTGTTCTCTCCCTTGCCCTCCGCTCATGTCCTCCCTTCTCTTTGTCTCTCGCCGCCTGGCCCTTGCAATCTCTCCGCTCCGTCGCTTGCTCGGAAGTGCCCCCTAGGCTGGTTTTCCCCGTTACTGATGCACTTTCTCCTCGCACATAGCCCTGTTTTGTGGGAAGCTCGGCCCCTTCCCCCCCC